TTGTAATCCTTTTCTATAGCCTACCCCACCCTCTTCAACATATTTTTAAATTGAGTAGCCTTTCTCCCAGGAATTTCGTACTGTTGTCTGAATCTTTGGAAGCACATAGGCCTAGAAATAGGGAGCCTGTTTTTTGTGAGGTACATCTTAAACTTCCTAGTAGATGTTACAGCTCATCAGAGTATTTTTATTAAATAATTCTTCAACATTAGTTTCTTTCTCTCTTACACACACATACATTAATTTCAGTTATAGCTGATGGAAGACTAATCTAAACTCTTCAGTGTGGGTGTGCATCCTGAGTTACTACAGGGAACTGAGGCTCTAAGTAAGGTGTAATATAGATGTACTTTGCAATTCAAATAAGACACTCCCTTATATTAACTATTTCATATGAAAATGTGACTCAGAAGTGCTTTTGTCCATTAAATGCACCCAAGTAACATTATAGATGAAGAGGCAGTAGAACTTAGGTATCTTTTTTCTCAGTTAAAAGACAACAGATGATCAAAAATCTGCTTGTCAGTGCTGTTGATTTGGAGCAAAGTATGTAAAAAGATACTAGCTGAGAAAGATGGAAATAAAGGAATAGGACTGTAAAATCGTCAAGAAATTCAATGTAAGCTCTTCTATTCAAAAGTCTGGTTCATATTCTTTCCAATCTGTTTGCATCACTGCAGGTGATTTGTGGGTTGTCTGCTACATGAATGCTGAAATTGGGAGTAGATTTTTCTCCAAGTAAATTTGCTTGATATAGCCATGAATTGATTTTCTTATTGTATGTGTATGCAGAACCTAGTATGTAACTTTTCTAACCTTTTTTGATTTTTTTTGCTAGGAAGAGGGATCAGTAGGCCTATTTGTTTTTTTTTTCCCCTTTCAGTTTTTAATCTTATCACTTCTTTTAATCTTTGGTGTGTTTCACAGTCTTTAACTTCAAAGTGTAATTGCAATGATGCAGCTGCTTAATGGATTGCTACATTTAATATTTTCCCCCTAGGAGCAGTATTTCTTCTTTGCATCTATAATTGGATCATGCTGCTGCTGTCCCTGATGGAAACACCAGGTTTCATATTCACCAATACACCTGAGCACATGCTTACTCACTTGGTAATCCTAATTTCTTTTTTGATTTATCAAAATTGAATTGTATTACGTGGGGGGCGGGGATTTTTGTGCTTGAATTTTATTGCAAAAGAAATGTGAGGGGAAATGCCGTCATGCACCTCTTGCTGCTCCAAGCTTTCAGATCGAGACTGGGTCTTTGTACCCTACTGCTGCATGTCTTGAATGTTAAATTTATAGTACTTCAGAGCCCAGCTCCAGGGCAATATATAAAGATACCACAGATTTGGGAGGGGGATTGATTTTGCAGCAAGCATTAGTTGTTGCTACTCTGTGCACATTCCTGCAGGCGTGGCCTTTATTTTCCATGCTGGTAGTGACCACAGCCACCGCAGCTGCCATGGAACACCACGCATCCCATCTCCCACTGTACAGGCAGGCAGGAGGTGAGTAATTTTTCATTGTTGCTGCATCTGAAGGATTCCCCTTTCCCCTCCCACACTACCTTGGCCCCTTTAGGAAAATTTTCATCTATTAAACTTTCCCTCCTCTGTTGGAGGAACTAAATCTCTTTCAGCATTTTCAGGCTGGTGATCTAATTTGACAGCTTGTAGGTGATGTCTATTCCTCCTCAAAGAGGCAGGTAGCCCCGGGCTAGCCAGCTGCATTGTGGATTCTGCAGATTTGGCTTGCTGTTCCTGCTGGGTGTCATCTGTCTTCTTAGTCTTGCGGTGGATAATTTTTGTCCTCCCTAGCATCATCTGCCTGAGCAGTTTTTGCCTGGCAGGCCTGTCCATACAGGTTGAGCATCAACTACAGTAGCCGCACGGCTAATCTGACAAGGCACTCCTCCAAACAGCGCAGCCCCGGGCCTGCTTTGGCCAGCATTGGCATCGCAGCCCGCAAACTTCCAGCCATCATGATCGTGGTCTTGGTCTCCCATCACGGGTGCAGCCCATGGACTTATTCTGCTGGCGCAAAGTATGTCCCCCGCCTTGCCCTCTTAAGGGCCGTCGCTCCAATTCCTCCCATCTGGGCAGATGTCTGCCTCAACAGGTTTGGGTTTCCCTGCCTGTTGCCGGCATTTGACTCGGACACCGCCACTTGGATGAAATAATACTTTAGTGGATTATCATTGCTAGACAGCCTGTGGGGAAAATGACAGGACTCGGCACGTTCATCTGAAGATTTTGCAATTCAGAGTGCTGCTAACGCTAATGGGAAGTGGCAGGGTGATCCCTAAAAGAGAAAGTGGGTTCCATTGCACGGCAAAAGTGACAGAGGTTGTTTAGCCTATCTTCCAAAAAAATACATGATGACTACATATGTTGATTTTCATGCTCCAAGCCATAGCTATTTCCATATTTTTGTGACTTGATGACTACTTTCTACAAACTGACAGGTTAGGGGCTCCACAAGTATTGTCTTTTTATAGCCATCACCTCTTTAAGTCCTCCTTAATTTTTTTGAATATGTTTTGAAAATAAGCTTGATAGGGCAGTGGGAGTAACCGGCCGGGGGGGGGGACACAACAAAACAGACATAAATGCAACAATAAAGCATATTCTTTAAAAAACACAACTATTCAAACAAAGGAGGAATGGTTTCAGGACAGTAGTCCTAGAAACCAATGCAGCTGTTTGTCACAGGATTTGTTTCATTCCCATAATGCCGAACCTGACATTATTCATGATGTAAGAACTGTTTCCTAGAAATGCAGTAGTTGCAAAGCCCCTTAACTACAGGATTTCCTCCTTAACAAATAAAAAGCTGGAGCATAGAGCTTAGAGGGGGAAATAACTTGTCTGAGAGAGACACTACAAAAGGATGGCAGCTAGGCAGAGGAAAGGGATAAAATTAACATTTCAACAATTCTACCCCAAATTATTAGTGATGATGGAGCCAGCTGGAATATCCTACAGATATTATTAATATATGAGCATTAGTGTAATCTAATGGTGATTGTCAGTTGCTTATGTGCTTTATATGCTTATATTTATGGGAAAATATAAATACTAATCTATAGGTTGCAAGAGGTGGTTACTTTGGGGTGAAAAAAAAATAATGTGGAAGGGAACTATTTTTTAAATAATTCTTTGTGTGCTAATTGTGTAATTAATATTTACAGACTACGAAACGGTGAAGGAGTGAAAGACTTTTAGATTATGTATTTATACTTAATTTAGTAATAATGTTAGTTAAGTATTGAACACTTCCCAGTGTGAGATGCATTTTGTTATTTAAACAGATTCTAACTATTCTGACTGACTTTGGAGTAGATAGTTTCAACAAAATCAATTCACTCATTTTTAACCCGTGTTTAGAAGATTACAGGTTTTGTCAGAAAAACCGATATAGTAATTTTAGTGAACAGTTTCTGAGCTTTGATGATGGTACACAAAATTTATAATAGGATCATTTTTTGTGTCAGTTGTAATAGCTTTAAAAAGTCCCTTTTTTTTTCTCAGCCACACAATTGCTCCTACACATAAAAGCTATGGAGAGTAGAAAATAGACAGAACTAATTTCTAAAAAAGAAATATATATTGCTCCTGTTTTTTACGAATAAACTAGTAATTGCTACAGCTAAACTGGCTCCTTTGTGGTATTCCAGGTCAGGGCACTGAAGCTGCAGCAGCTGTAGCAGAATTTGTGGTCCAGTTCTTTCTTCATTGCAATAATACTGTGTGGTGTGTATTGCAAATTTTTAAAAAAAATGTATAAAAGAAACAAACTGTAGATGCAATGGCCTAACTAGGATCAACCTATTCTAAAAGTATTGAGTTTATGTGGCATGAAAAGTAACAAGCAGAAGTTAATATACTGTAATTTATAAGGGGGGAGTCTGTAAGGGGGGAGATATATTGAAAATATTCTAGTGCTGTCAGAGTCACAGAACGGGGTCAGTTTGAAAGGGACCACAGTGGGTCATTTGCTCCAACCTCCCTGCTCAGTCAGGGCCATCCTAGAGCACAGGGCACAGGATTGCCTCCAGACGGTTCCTGAATATCTCTGGTGAGGGAGAGTCCACAACTTCTCTGGGCAATCTGTTCCAGTGCTTGGTCACCCACTCAGTAATGAAGTTCTTCCTCATATTCAGGTGGAACTTCCCGTGCATCAGTTTCTACCTGTTGCCTCTTGTCCTATTGCTTGGCACCACCAAGATGAGCCTGGGTCTGTCTTCTTGACACCTTCCCTTCAGATACTAATGAGGTCCCCTCTCAGTCATTTCTTTTCAAGGCTGAACAAGCCCTGTTTCCTCAGCCTGTCCTCATAAGAGAGATGCTCCAGTCCACCAATCAACTTCGTAGCTCTCTGCTGGACTTGCTCCAGGAGCTACATGTCTCTCTTGTACTAGGAGCCTCTTTTGTACTCTCAAATAGTTTTAAAAGAAATGTATAGGGATTTTACATAATTTTTGCCCTTTTTTTGTATAGTTGTAAAAGACTGCTGCTCTTATTTTTTTCTTTCAGCAGTTCTTTTCAGCCGTTGTTACTCATGTTTGCTACACACAGAAGGCAAGTGGGTTTCCTGAACGCACGTCTCTTACTACATTATCTGAATCACAGAATCAATTAGATTGGAAAAGATCTCTGAGATCATCAAGTCCAACCTATGACTGAACACCACCCTATCAACTAGACCATGGCACTGAGTGCCAAGTCCAGTCTTTCCTTAAACACCTCTGGGCATGGTGACCCCACCACCTCCCTGGGCAGCTCGTTCCAGTGTTGAACCACCCCTTCTGTGAAGAAATTCCTCCTGTTGTCCAACCTGAACCTCCCCTGGCGCACCTTGAGGCCTTTTCCTCTCGTCCTGGCTTGCCTGGCTACCACCTCCTTTTCAGGTAGCTGTAGAGAGCGATAAGGTCCCCCCTGAGCCTCCTTTTCTCCAGGCTAAACAACTCCAGCTCCCTCAGCTGCCCCTCACAGGACATGCGCTCCAGACCCTTCACCAGCTCCGCTCCCCTTTTCCAGACTCGTGCCCTTCTCCTAAAACAACACCCATCAAATCACCAAAATCCCGGGTGTGTTCGGGGTGTGTTCGGGGGCGGTACCGCAGCGCGGCGGGCGCGCCGCGATGACCTCACGCCGCGGCACCGGGGCCCTGCGGAAGCTCTGCGGGACGGGCAGGGCCAGGTCCGGGGCCGGGCAGGTCCCGCCCGCGCTGCCCGGGGCCGCGAGCGCCATGAGCGGGGCTGCCCCGCGTCCCCCGGCCGCAGCACCGCGGCGGCCCCGCCGCACGGCGACAGGAGGCGGGAGGCGCCGGCCGCCGGCTCCCCCATTTCAGGCCATCATAAAGGGTAAGGAGCGGGCGGGGTGTCACCGCGCGTCAGCCCCCCTTCAGCCCCCCGCGCTCCGTGACACGCTCTGAGGTTTAAAGCTGGACACCTGCTGGCTTTCACCTCTCGGAGTTTGAAACAAGGCGTTCTTCCGGGAAACCGAGTCTGCCACCGAGGCCCTGCCGCCGGCGTGTGAAGTTTTCTGGGAAGCTCCTACTTTGGAGCCCCGAGTGTTGCCCTGGTTCATCTGCGCACAGGAGCGTTCGGACTGGGGAGTGTTTTAGCCTGTGCTTTATTTACTGCAATCACGTAATTCCCCAGATTTGGAATAACCGTTCTGCACCTTTTTTGAACGGGGTGAGAATCGGGATGTTGAACAAACAGTAGCGAGGGAGAGCCTCAAGGCAGGTCCAAACAGGTGGGGCAGGAAGACATCCTTTACCATGGCAGTGCCAGTTGAAAGCGTTTGTTGGCGTTACGCTGTGTATTTCTTGAAATAGTCTTTATTTGCTGTACTCTCACACTGGTTTTCGACTTAACGGGCTTTTTCTTTCTCTGTGACAGACAAGCCTGATTTGCACACGCACTTATATTGTAAATACTCTTTTTCAAGACTTAAATTTCAAGTCTTTGGCCCTGGAACACAAGAAAATGCTGACAGTTTTCCTGTGTAGGGAGCGTTTTGCTTCTCTTGCTGCAGAAAACTCCCACACCTTAGTATGTAAATCGCTATTAAGCTGCAGCGTTTAGTTCTGTTCTTTTACCACTATCAACAATCAGATGCAGAAGCTTGTACTGATGAGAAAGAGGATTGAAACAAAGGGTGCTGAGGCACAGAGGAGAGCGTTCAGCCTTCCCAGAAAGGTGTCTTTGGGATCTGGAATACTGATTCATTGCATTTTATCTAGGTTGGTGATTTGCTGAATAGATAGGTTACCCAGTAAACGCTGTTCTGATGCTCTTTTGGTTTTGTATGTATTTTGTTGTCCTTCTTCAAACTGAGGTATGATGTGCTACCGTGTGTTGTGTAGCCTGGTGTAGGAGTGAGAGAAAAACTAAAATTCTGGCTTTCATTAATATTCTAGATGTTGGGGAAATCTATTCAAGACTCCTGGATCACAGACCAGTAATTCAGGGAGAAATACGTTACTTTGTTAAAGAATTTGAAGTAAGTATTTGTATCTTACTGGATGCTGTCCTAGTCTGATACTTTCAACAGTCTTAGCATCTCCTTAGAGATCTCAGTATGTACATAAGTTTCGTCAGAAGAACTTGACATGTTGGTTTTTTTCCAAAATAACACACTTGAAGTATACATCTGCATCTTTAGTAAACAAGGCAGTAATTTAGGCCTTTTTCTTTTGAAAGTTTCGAAAGGGACGTAATTTCTTTTCCTGCAAAAGACTGGCAGGAACACTGATGTTAGACAGTTATGAAATCCTGATGTCTTAGAGGAGTCCAGTTGGTTCAAGGAAAGTATTGTTGGCCAGTGTAGGTTTACATCTGACTGAGAAACTGCTTTATGCATCAGGCTGGATTCAGCGAGCACAGCTGTAGTTTTATTTTGCTTTAATATTTGTTACAGAAAAGAAAGTAATATTACTGGAAGAGAAACACTTTATGCAAAGTAAGAAAATCGTTAAAAATTGAATGACTTTTGTCTGATTGGCTGCAAATAAGGCTTAAGTATTGAAGGTGCAAAAGTGTTTATATACAGCTTTCCTTGGAAAGTATAATTTGGTTTCCACAAGATGGCAGCAAAAGTTTAGAGAAGTCAAATCTTACGTCAACAAAAGACTGTTTCTGAGTAGATTTTCGTTCTTACAGAGTGTGGAAATTAAAATTAAAATCAGTCCTGAAAATGCAGCTACACCTCAAGCTTCCAGCAAGCAAACCTGATTTGAATGACATCAAGAATGTCTTCCCCCCTCATCCCAGATTGTAGCTTATATTTGAAGCAGGTCTGTTTTGTCTCTACTGGTTTAGCAAAATACATATGTAAAATAAACTCTCATCAGATCTGTATCGCATGGGCTTGAGAGTCATAAGAAATTATTTATTTTCTCTGCCTTCCCTAAGTAAGTTTTAGGGTACAGTAAGTAATTTTATGTGGCATTCCATAGGAAGGAAAATTTTAAACTCAATTACAAAATTAGAACTCATATCTTTATAATTATAATTCATATATTTCTCTCATTGCACCTGAAGTCTTGTTCTGTTTCTTAGACAAATTTAATATATTCTTAGATCTTTTATTGAAATTCAGTTACTGGTTTTTACTTTTAGGGGTGGAAATAGCAAAGCAGAGGATTGTATAAATCTTTGCAACTTAGAATTTCTTCAAAAAATTACACTTGTTTGTAACTTTGAGATATCAGCTATTTTCTGGTTGTAGTAGGACATATGCTTATTCTTTCAGTGATGAGCACCTAGTGTGTAAGGAATGTAGATTTGCATTCAGGAAATCTGGAGCCTGTTTAATAAAGTGGTTTTACTTGTCTGTGCCTCGGTTTCTGAAATTTTAAAACAGATATGTTGATATGCAGTTGCCCACTTCATAGGATGCAGTATTTTTTTTGTTTATCTAGAGTAGTCATCTAGAGGAAAGTGTTGGTGAAATTCAGAGTGGAAGTAGTGCTATAGCTTCAGAAAAAAGAATATTTTTTAAAATGTAAACAGTACAGCAAGATCTTGTTGTTCTTGTAATTAATCATGATCAGCAGTGATCTAGAAGAAGGGCTGCTTCTTTAGTCAGCTGTATTATATTATTTTTTAGTCTTGACTTCATTGCTTTACTTCAGTTAAAACAGTTTTACTTGGATTGTTTTAATCTCTTCCCATGCTAAGTGTGGGTCAGACATCAAGCAAGCAGAATCACTGCTACGTTATCTCTCAGTAACAATTGAGTTATAAAAGTGCAGTGTTTTCAAGTTTTCTTGCTCTCAGTTGTTTTTGATATGCGGTAAATCCTCTTTACAAAATGGCACATTTTTCCACCCAGTGTTTTAGCTAGTCAGTACTGACTTTTTTCACAAAGGCCAGAAGGGTCATTCAAAGAATTCCTGTATTTTAGTGTGAAGAATGGAACATTGCTCTTCTTTTTCACAAAACAGTTTTATTAATCATGCTAAATAAGTAGAGTAACTCTTTAATAGACAACAGTATAGTTTTTTGAGATGAAGCTATTAGTTTATTAACTGGGAAACCATCTTTATTTTGTAAAGTGGAATTCCTTGTTAGCCACTCATTTTCTTTCCTTTTTCTGGCAGGAAAAACGTGGCCTCCGAGAACTGCGAGTACTTGAAAATCTAAAGAATACAATCTTTGAAACGAATGATCATGTTCTTCCTAAGTGTGAGCAGGCAATGCATGACAATTTGAATGAAACATTCAAGAGATGTAAGCACATTGCTTCTTATTTCTCTTGTTGCATCATTTTGAGGAGTAATTTAAGTAGTTTGAATTCAAAATGTAGAAAATTCGTAGAAAAATTATCATAGTTGGATAATTTTCTACTCTTTATGTGCTTTTTTCTCATTTCTGTGAAATTTTAAAAGGGAAACAGCAGGGATGTTTTTTGATACGTATCAGTCCAGCCACACAGCTCTTGCTAAGGTTACATTAAAGATTTTTGTTGATTGAAGTAGAAGCTGTTTCAGCTCAGTTGTTTGTTACTCACTTGGAAATAGTGTTCCATGTTGACCAAAGCCATGGACAAAATTTCAGTTTTCTGAAATTTCAGGGGTTTTTTTCAGTTTGTTGCAAGCATGTTGTGGTGTGACCTTCAAGTTTCTTAATTTTCCCGCAGGAGAGCATAATACTGTCCCCCAAGATTTAAAACAAAACCTGCTGCTGTGTAGCTGTGAAATTTATTGTTATTATTATTATTATTATTATTATTATTTCATCGTCATCATCTTAGTCACAAATAGTGAAATACGAGTAATTGCATGCTAATCTTAGTTTCATCATTACAATAATATATTTTTTTATTGCTCAGATTTTAAAAGAAAATTTAAAATTTTTTGTACTAATTTTTCAGTATTTTTTTTTTCTTGCTCATTCGACAGGATGGCTTCTTAAAAAGAGATTTCAAGAGAGTGTGGGTACATAGCTTTAGCTGCCAAATTTATGCAGTCAGAACTTGCCAGTGTAGGTTGTGTTATATTTTATGTGTGGCATGTTGTATAAGCATTTAATTTCTTATAACTTACTTATACAGCATCTGGCATATGCAGAATAACAAATGCTAGATGATACTATACACACGAAACAATTGCAGGGAAGTATTTTAAACTTTAAATTTAGTCATGCAAATAGGACGTATGTTCTAATACCATCTGACTGGAGTGAACCTGTGATGCTGCTTCCTGTCTTTCTAAGGGGTCAGCTGTGCAGTACATCTTTAGTAATACAATCACAGAATGGTTGAGGTGAGAAGGGACCTCAGGAGGTCATGTTTTTAAGCCTCCTACCTGCTCAAGCAGCAGCAGCTAGAGCCAGGACTTTGTCCCATTGCATTTTTAATACCTTTACAGGTGGAGACTCCACAGCCACTCTGGGCAACCTGTTCCTGTCCCAGTGTTTGACTACCATCACAGAAAAAAGTGTTTTCTTGTGTTAATTTGAAATCCCATGTATTTGATTTTGTGCCCACTGCCTCTTGTCTTGCCAGTGAGCACTAGAGAAGAGTCTGGCTCCCTCATCTTCATTCCATTCAGATATTTATTCACATTCTCCCCGGGCCTTCTTTTCTCCACACAGAACGGTCCCAACTCTCTCAGCCTTGCCTCATACAAAAGATGCTCCAGTCCTTAGTAGTCTTTTTGGCCATGTGCTGGACTTACTCCAGTAAATTAATCTGTGTTTACTGGGGAGCCTAGAAGTAGACAGACTACCTCAGGTGCGGCCTGTGTTGTTGGCCCTTGTAATGCCTTGCTGCCTGAGATTATTCCTTCCCAGATGCAGTACTTGACATTTCCCTTTGTTGAACTTCATTAAAATTCCTGTCAGCCCAGTTCTCCTGTTGCACAAGGTCCCTCTGAATGGCAGCACAACCATTTCCAGTTTAAGTGCCCCCTAACCTGGTGCTCCTTCACAGACAGTAAGTCTGCTTTGCTCTAGACTTTCCCTCTGGTTTCAGAAACGTGGGATTCCTCAAGGCTGGTCTTTATGGTAAAGACTAAGGCAAAGAAGGCATTGAGTACCTTGGCCTTTTCCATGTTCTTTGTCACCAGCTCCCCTACCCCATTCAGCAGAAGGCCTGCAATTTTCCCCAGTTTTCCTTTTGCTGCTACCTACTTACAGAATCCTTTCTTGCTATCTTTTGTACCTCTCACCAAATTCGACTCCCAATCAGCTTTTACTTTCTTCATGCTGTCTCTGCTCGATAAGACAGCAACTCTATACTGCTGTGTGCCTTGCCCCTACTTCCACCTCCTATACACTTCCTTTTTAAGTTTGAATTTAGTCAGGAACTCCTCGGTCATCCATGCAGACCTCCTACTGCAGGAAACATCCATGCTTGTTGGGATGGACCTTTCTTGAGCTTGGAGGAGGTGATCCTTGTTACCATCATCCCAGACCTACCGTGTCCCCAGCCTCTTTACTTTTTTTTTTTGTGAATCACTCCTTTGCCTGTCATTTCTAGTTTAAAGCTGTCCCTACCAGGTTGGCCAGCCTTCTGGCAAAGGTACTTTTACCCAGTTTAGACAGGTGGATCCCATCTCTTCCAAGCATCTGCTGATGCTCAGAATGGGTCACAAGGATATAGAAACCAAACTCCAGCTACCAACACCAACTGTGCAACCAGCTGTTAACCCCAAAAATCCACCTAGTTCCCCTCAAAAGGAAGGTTGGGGAGATCATTATCTGGACTTCCATGCCTTTGACCACCTTCCTGAGATCCTTGTAGTCATTCCTGTTATTTCTCAGGTCACCCTTGCAGTACCACTGTTGTCTACATGGAAGTGCACCAGGGGTAATAGTCCAAACTTACGACATCCCAAATGTGAGCCCCTGGCAAGCAGCAAACCTCCCTAGATGACAAAACATATTGAAAGGTGGGGAGCCTCTGTCCCCTGCCATAGGGAGTCTGCTACAGCTGTCACTTGCCACTCTCTTCTAGTGGTCCTGAGCAGCTCAGGCTCAGCCACCAGATGCTCCAATTTACGGTGCTCCCAGCTCCTTACCAGCTATGTGGGCAGTGAACCTGTTCTGTAACTGGAAGTCCTCAGGGTGGCAGGAGCCTGCCTCCTGTTTTGGAAAGTCACCAGCTTCAAGATGGTGATAAATAAGTAAGGTATTTCTCAATGCCAGATTGTGTTAGTGGGCGAAGTGACTGCTTTGGGGAAATTAGTTTATTTAATTCTACATTAATTAAGTGTTAAATAAGTTAGGAAGAAAAAGTGCATAGGAGTACAGTTCCTATTTCCATTGAGTTTTCCCAGGCTTAGTCTCATGAGAGAAGAGGCTGGCTCCAGCATAAAGGTGTTCTCCATGTAAAGTCTATGCTACATCACTTTTTACAGTTGGTGGGGAAAAAATAAGAAAAAAACTGAACCAAGTAAAACATAGAGCTTGGTCACCTGTTTCTACTTACTGACTTAAGAGTGTTTTTTGATGTCTTCTGAGGTGCTGAGTAGTGCACTCTAGCTCATCAACCACACTAGGGAGTATGGACCCAAGAGGACCTAGCTGCTTTTCTCATTTTGGCTTCTAGAATGCTCAAAGGTTAAACTCGGTGATAAGCCTACTTACAGTTGTAAGTGTAAAGCATTTTTTGCAAGTACTGACAACTCTTGTGCAGAATTAAGTGGCACAGTGGAATATAATCTTTGATTTGTAATAATCTCACATCTTCTAAATCCCTTTCAGGCAAGTTTCTTTGATTTAGAACAGCAGACTGATCTACTGCAATTTGTTGTTTCAGTGCAAGCTGCCAACAACATGATCCATAGACTCCAAGAGAAAGAGAGTGAAGTGAGAAAGGTAAAAGAAGGGTGGATGGATACAATTTTATAGTGTGATCTAAGTCGGAGTCTCGTGCTTCACAGCAAGTTCATCTGCCTTCAGTATAGCAAAACTTAAAAACATGTTTTCCTATACTGTATATACTTGCAGTAAAACTTCTGGGGTGATTTCTGCACTTACAAAATGCACACTGCAGATGGATCTAGCTAAGTCTTCCTACAATCTCCTGATGTATGGAAACTATTTTTTTTATTTCCTTCACTTTATTTTCCCTCCTAACTCAGACTATAACATTTGTCACATACAGGGAAAGCTTAAATATAAAAAAGCCCTTATTTTCTGTGGAACAAAAAACACCTACTAACCTACCAGAATGGAAATGTAAATCTTTCCTAGTTAGCTGAGAACATTGACCATATTATATATATTGCTTTATATATATTGCTTGTTGAAAAGGAAGTGTGTTTTTCACTTGTGGATGGGTTATTTAATGAAGGGCTATATTATAGGAACATGCGAATCATTGGAACCTTTTCAGTTGGCTACATTTTGCTTATTTGAAATACATGTGCTCTGAATCTAGAAGTTGGAAAATTATACAAGAAATTAGTTTCATGTTTTCCCATTACCGCTTCGTTATTGTGTTCCTGGGTTATCTCTTAACTTGCAAAATGCTATTTATAATCATTTAGTCCAGAAAAACTGAAGACGTTTCTGTGGCCATAAAGCCAAACAGTCCGTGCATTGATGTTTGTAAGCTGATAATCATGTTTTTCTTTCCTTTTTGCAATCGATGAAGATGGGCAGTTCGGTTGCAATTGAATACTGGTACTGTGCAAACAGCACACTGCTGAACCCTGACAAAGTTTGCTTGTGTCTAACACTAGTGTAGATACTGGTAGAGAGGTTAAATAGGAAATTCTTACAGTTCGACTACTATTTGTTTCAAGTAAAACTTTAATAAAAAGTTTGTAACTTATAAAATGAACGCTCAGTAAGAATTATGACTATTCTTTTTTAAACATATTAACTATGTTTCCACTCTTTGGTTTTTTAATATGTAGTGGAGGAATAGTAATAGCTATTCAGGATTTGTAGCATTTCTTTAAGCCAGTATAGTAAGACCTTTGGCTTGAAACTTTCAAATGTGAGTAGTAACATTCTTTTAAAATTATAGATAAAAGTTGTCATTGTAGTGCAACCACTTGAGGAGAAATACTTTTTCCTTTTCTGAAATCGTGTGTTCTGAAAAAATAATGGGATTTTGGTAGAATGTAGTGTCAAGTTATTAGTATTAGCAGCCCTCAGTGAAATTAATTCAATTTCTGCTGAATGGGATGAATTATAAGATTATTTACTTTACTAATTATCTTTTTCTTGCAGTTCTTTTCAGCTACTGGCCTAGTAACAAAACGGAAATTATGTTGCCCCTACCACAGTCTCACTTAGGATGTAAAGTAATATGTGAATCTGTGAGTGTCATTGAAAGAAGGCATACTATCAAATTCTACATGGTTTGTTTTCCAGAAAACAAACCTTTTCTAAATCTATAAGTTTGGAAATGATGAGTTGGTAGTATAAAATACTCTCAGTATTGCCTCTACAGATCACTAATTATGCTACTTTTGGAAACTGTTTTTGCTCTTTGAAAGTGATTTTTGACTTAACCAAGACAAATCCATGCCAAGTTGTCTGTACATCTTGAAAACCTGTGTATTTTAAAGATTTTTCATGACTGTCAAGGGCATATATAACAAGAGAGATATGGACCTCTGTGCTTTCTAGCTATGCTGCAGTTAGAACATAGTATTTTTCTACAGTGTCTTGATTTCATTAGTTTTTCCTCCTGTGTGTTATAGTCAGTTGAATAAAGTGTGAAGTTAATAGTGCTGGATATGAAGAGGATGTGGTAGTAGTGGAGAGCACTGTGGTAAGAAAGCACAATATATATTGGGAAGACCTGATGGGTAATTGCAGAGCTACAGTGTGGAAGTTGTCTTTTTTGTGCTGAGAAGCTGAATTTTTTGTGGCTGTAGCACTAGGTGTCAGTGAAAGTAGTTGCGTGTCCTGCAGTGGAGCCTGGTTCTCAAGAGACTCTTAGTGACACTCTGCTAAACAAAAGGCTGTACTATGGTAGCAGCTGTCACAAGAGAGCAGAGAAGGCTTGGATGAGGGAAGCCTTTTAGTACCTTAGCTTCAGGGATGGTGTCTGTGGCAGCTTGGGTCTTGCAGTTGGATGTGGGCAAAGGAGGAACCTGTCTTTGGTCGGATGTCTCTCTCATTAACCTGTCATGCTTAACAAGACTGAGTGCTCATTGAAGATTATCCCACAGCAATAGCATTCATAGGTCTCTCCTGTGTGGATTCTTTAACTTCTGAACCAGCAGGTTTACACTGCAACATGTTCTTTGATTGAAAGACCTGTATCCTAAGGCACTCATCCTTTAAGCATCATGCTTTATTATATTTGCTTGTTTGCACAGCTATTTGTCTGGTACAAATAAGAATATTGGTTTTAAGATTGTGACTGTCTCACACCCACAAACATATGCACTTGGCAGCAGTAAGTATTAATGACCTGGAGGTGCTGCTGACCACAGCTGGATTTGAATTTGTTTTCTAGGAAGGAGAGCTGCAGTGCTCAGGGTGTGCGCTGAGCTTCTGCCATGGGGTTTTCCACGTCACTGCTGAGATGGGAGAGTGAAAACAGTATTCAAGTCCTTAATGTCTTTTACTTGGTATTTCTTATCATTCTTACTTGCTTGCGCAAGCATATCTTAATTTTATTTTTCATGTTCTAGAAATGTCTTAGGCTGTTTTACCAGGCAAGTCATTTTATATCCTTGGGTAGAAGTGGTGCAGTGGAAAATGAAGGTAGAAAGTAGCAACATCAGTTCCTTGCAAGCTATTCATATTGTGAGAGTTAGTCTAGATGAAGTGTAGTTTGGGTAGGTGCTGTGTAATCACGTCAAAAAGTGTTCGAAACACCAGCGTTTCAAAGCCTGTTGAATACATAGTAGCGTACTAGTCAAACTATTAGTTTTGTTAGTAGCTGTTACTGCAAGTGCTGCCAACAAAATGGATCTTGGTATAATGTTGTTGAAGTGCATAAAATGCTGCACTGCAAAACTTGTGTATTTAGCCCATGATATGTGACCTTGAAGAACATCAGAGAGGGTGTTTAAGAATACATAAATGAATTCTCAGTGCCTTCAGTTGACAAAAATACCATATATGTATTAAAGCTGTATGATAGTGTTTATTCCTACACAGAAGTACTGTACGTAGTAAACAGTCATTGCTGATACACCGAAAAGGAGAGGGGGGTAAAAGAAAAAAAAAATTTAATCCTTTCCTTTGCTGGAAGATGGAGCAAATGTAAGAACACCTGCCTAGATTTATTTTCACTTCTGCACCTATAATATAAGGAGGCCAGACTGTTAATGCTGCATGCAAGCAATCCACAGAAGTACATTGCATTATGACATGTGCATTGGATGTGTGTATTATTTCTCTTTCTGGATATCTAGACATTTTTTAATATTTTTTTTTTCAAGATAAGAGAGTGAAAGGAATCAGACTTACCAGAAGCCAAGCAGTAAGAAAGTATGAGGGAAAAAATAACTTATTTATAAAGGAAGACATTAATCACAGTGAGAGCTAGCTGGCTAAAACAGAAACACTAGCTGCCAGTTTCAAAACATTTAGTATCTGTGTTGTTATATTTTATAGAAATAGCATAGAAAAGCTATCATTGCTAATGGTATTACATTAATAGTATTGCAGACATTTTATCACTCGTTTTGGATTGACTATAAAAAAATAGATGTTTTCTTTTTAGTTTCACCTTTCCCTATGTTTTCTTGCTAGTTTCCAGTTTCTCTGATAGTTTAAAATTATGTAGCCCTCATTAAACCTCCTGTTTTAACATGGAAATAACTGTTAAAACTTCACATTTTCCTCCTCTCAGCTTCAGGCAGACAAGGTGATGGCTCGAGAAGAGAAGTGCATCGCCCACTGGGAGGAATTTATGAAAGAACAGCAGAACCAACGTGCAGAGGTGGATGAAGAGCACAGAAAAGCTATGGAGCGCCTCAAAGAGCAGTATTCTGAGATGGAGAAGGAACTGGCCAAATATGTTTCTTTTTAAGACCTTTTTTAATAATGATAGATTTGTGCCATTACTTAGTTTATTCTGACTTAAATTGAGGTTCTTTTGGAAAGCTGAAACAGATAAGAAAAAGGAGAATTTCCTCTACAGGCTTGGTATGGGAAGAAAAGGTTTGCATACTTTCAACTTAAGTGCCTATCTCTGCTTGTTTGGTTCAGGGCAGGTGGAATGCCAGTATTTTTTTGTTGGGAAGTGGAAATGAAAATTTTGTGACTACATCAGCTCAGGGAGTTGCAAACTAGAATTCTCTTCCATCAGCAGAGTATCATATCATTTAGGAAAACAGAGACTAATGTAATATTAACTATCCCAGTGTGCAGCCACAGCCCTTTCCTAAACAGTAGGTTAGTAGGTTCCAGCCATGGTTGAGAATTCACTGGGAAAACTGTATATCCTGCTTGTAGATTTCAAGAAAATAAACTTGTCTTATGGAATATTTTACTTTGAAGTTTTAGCGGTGAAAGATCTCAACAGAGTTTTAAATCCAATTGTAATTCAAACTTTTGGGTTGTATGTTCAGTATTATGAAATAGAGTTGTGATTCGAATGGGTTTTGCTAGCATAAAAATGGCTAAGTAAGCTTGGACAACAATTTCTTTTTTTTTCATCATGTAATTGTCTCAGGCCTCTCTTTTTAAGCTTTACTGTTCTAAGCGAAGCCAAAACAAGCTCAAAAGTAATCATGAAAAGCATATTGGTCCTTGTATTACCTTTGTAGCTAGTACAGTATTTACCTTAAATATTTATCATGCTGTTGGTTTACTTAGGATAAGCTTGTCAGAACTTTATGAAGCAATTGAAGTAAGCTTTTTGTTTCTTTATCAACATAACAAACGAGCAGATTAGTGGCAAAATGCCTGTAGTACTGATCTGCTTTCTTACTCTTACAGGATACATGAAACTCATTTTATTTGAAACTTGCAGTTTACAGCAATGTAACTGAAGAAGTTAACTTAATCAGTTCATTAACCAAGGAAAATGAGACTTAGTACCTTAATGAAATTTGCTGCAAGCTAACCGTTAGTACAGGAAATATCTTTCCATAATTTAGCTGGTGTCCAATGTAGAATGGAAACAGGCAAAAATAAACAGAATTTACGCTTTACCTATATTGCAGCAGTAATATACCAACAATGGTTGCTTGTATAAGATTATGGCTTGGTGTCAAGGCTCTGCTCCTGGCAGCATGTTGATAGTGTGATTGAAGTTAGTAGAGGAGATGGAATAAGTATTTGAGATTTCTTTCAATAACACTGAATTCCTGCCAAGCTGCTCTGCCTGCTACTGTAGGCCCAACAGCTTCATCAATCATCATCGTGTGTCTGGACTGAAAAGAGGACTTGCCGACACTGGGGCATGCTGGAATGTTGTTAATTCCCTGTTGTGGATGGAAAAAACATAGATGTCTCAAAGGTATCCCACACATGAAAAATAGGAAAGCCTCTTTTAGAACAACTCCTATCTGAATAGAAGGTGACTTCTGTAGTATTTCTCAGCTTATGTACCCATGATGAATGTTGTAACTAAGCTCAGAGTTTTCATTTAAAAAGAAAAAGTTAGTTTTTGCCTCTCTTTAGAATCAGGTGTGGAATAATTTCATTTGGAGCAGAGATTGGAAGTGGCTTCTCTCTTACCAGATCATTTGATGTATATGTGCTCAAAGCTCAAATACCTTTGTAACAAAATGCATTTAACTGCATACTGAATTCATTTTTATTTTTGCACTGATAATTTTTATTGAGATTTAGATATCTAATTAACTGTGCACTGGATTCTAGTATTTAATCAATTTGAAGGCTCTTAAGCAATGATGCAAGTGTTACAAGTTGGATATTCACTAGAAAATAAAGTGGTATTTCCAAAACCTTCTGAGCTGTGTGGTCCTGATTTTTTGGAAAGCGTCTAAGTACTAACACTGAAGATGTGTTCTTCTTTTAGAATGTTTTATGCTGAGGAATTTTTTATGCTGAAAGTCATTTGAAAGCATTTTTCTTCAGTCCATATCTCCCTCTTGGCCCATTGCTATTCATTGTGGGGACTACAGTGAAAACTATCTGTTTCTGAAGTATTTCATTTCATAACTCTTACTTTTTTGTGTGTGATATGCTGTAGGTTTTGAGGTACCTAGAAATGCTTAATCATCTTTGAAGCAACTTGCCAACAATAATAGGAAACCCTATTTTTTCTGTCCAAATGCTTAAAAAAATCCCAACCAATACCTGATGTGTCTAATACTATGTCAAAACAGAACATATCTGACTGATAAAAAAATATTCCTATCTTCTGCAGTTTTTTATCAGGGTGGGATTATGGTCTGTCTGGTCACAATAGTTCTCCACAGTGCAACTTTCTTTGCAAGATTCAAATTCTTGTTATTCATAGTCTCTGCCATTTGGGAGAAATAGAAAAATGAGTAGTTAAAAAAATAGTTTAAAAGTTGGCTTTATGTCATTGGTGCGCGAAGGAAGTGTTTTAATTTATAGTTGTAATTTTACATGACTGAACGTCATAGTTTTAAAAATCTTGAGGATTTGTTTAATCCCAGTTAAACTTGATAGAAGTTTACATTGGATTCCAGTAGGAGTTGGAAAGGGTCCTCAACATTGTTAACTTCTAGTATGACAAGTGAGTTTCTGTGTCTTTGTACCAGCCTACGTGTATAAGTTTTTGCTTAGCTATTAGCACTGTTTATTATGCTGAACCGTAGGTGTAACTGTTCATTGTAACTGAAAGTGGGGCTGGGTGTCATGTAACCACTGGAATATTTTCTTAGTCTTTCTGTTCTAATGAACACATAGCAAGAAGCTGGTATCTTCCTTGGAACTGCTGTATGAAATCTGCTGCTGCTGTATTAAGAAGTAATAACAAACTGAGGAACTGAAGAGATACTTAAAGGTTTGGGGTTTTTTAAACTGGCTTATGTTAACAATGAACCTGCTGTTCTTCTTGGAATGTTTGTCTAAGGCCTATCACATTGTTTTAATCTTAGGAATGAGGGAGAATACCTATTTATATGACCTTCCTCTGCTTCTTTCTATGGTGACACTAGGTCACTGTGGAGTTTTTTCGTAGTCAAATTAAACAACAAATACGTGGCATAATCGGCAAGTAAATTGAATCATGTATAGTTCACTGCCGAGTTGAAAAGCCTGATTGTCCCAAGGGTGTGCACTGGAGATTGACAAATGTTCCCCAGCAGGTGTCAGTGCAGGCCGGAGAAGGAACGTGAGGAAGCCTGGTTTTATACGAGGTATGAAATGTAAATACTGCTGTTCAGTTTAACACGATGATTTGTGTAAGTAAAAGACATTTTATGGATGAAGCCATACTTTTAAATATAAAGCGACACTAGTTATCAACAACGTTTTGCCCCATTAGTGCTCAAAAAACCTTAGAACAGATCACTTTCAAAGTTATTTATGTAATGTGTGCTGACCTGAACAATATTGTCTGCAGTTCTTGCGCGTTCTAGTTAAAATGTATTATAATATGAGGTTAGACTCAATGTCAGAGATTAAAAACTTAAGAGCTGCATTCTTACACTGCTGTTTGTTTTAGTGGATCAGGTTTTCTGAACTTTTGAGGCAAAAGTTTGTGCTTATTGATAGAGGTTGCACCTTAGTAAGGAAATGGGATCTTCTGCAAATAAAATCTGTGAACAAAATCATCATACCACACATTTTTAAAATAGGCCAGTTATTTTATTGCTTATAATCAAATGAATTTCTCAAAGTAGTAAAGATGCAGTGCATTCAGTGCTGTGAGTCAAACTTCTGGTCTGTGTGTCAAAAGATGCAGAATCCACAGGAAGATGAAATTGCAGCTGCTCAGTTAGATTTTAGTGAATAACACAAGTTTCATAAACAGTTAAGGCAAAGATTATTCAAAAATTCCATATAACGTAGACATTTAAAAGAGACGGGAGAAGTCAAATCTGTTTTGAAGCACTTAACCAAAGGTAGTTAATAAGGGTTGAAAGAAATCTTGTAGAAATACATTGCTCCACACAAACGTACCTTCCAGTTCTGCAGAGGTGCAGAGGTACAGTATTGCGTGCAACACCTTCGCAGTTTCATATATGTAAGTAATGAGCAAAGTAGGAACAAAATTACTCAAGACAATGCCGAGCATTAGAAAGAAGAAAAGCTTGCAGAAGTCCAACCAGGGATTAAAGCTGTAACTTTGAAAATCCAGGCTCAGAATTGAGCTTCCTAACTAGGAATCGTGTAGACCTATCCACCTAGTTTTCGGTTTACTGCCTTAAATGCTCTGTCTGGGCCAAATCAGAACATGGATGGCTCCGATTTTTATTTAACATCATTTTATTGACTATGAAGAAAAAGATAACCCTTTCAATATGAATTTTCAAGACAGCTGCACTGAAGGGTGGACAATATTGTGTTTTAAAACTGTAATTTAAAATAAAACCTTACATTTCCTCAATCTTCTCCACTAATGACTCACTGGGTGGATACAAGGAGACCTGCAACTGAATATCTTTTTTTTTTTTTTTTAACAGACATTGCATTTAATGTGATGTAATGGAATTTAGTGAGAAGCAAAGCACTATTTATGGCTTTGGCTTGGTACTCATTACTAACATTTTGAGATGGACATAATATGAATTTACCTAGCTTTTCATGACACATTGTTGCAACATTTTGCAGTCTGGAAAAAAATAAACTTTGTTCTTGCTGCAGCAAACATTGCAGGACCCAGATAAGCATTTTTAATTGTCTTTGAATTAATTGTAAAATAAATTTGCAAGTTTGCTTCGCAAAACTTGTAGGGTGTTACCTAACCAGTGCTCTCCCAAACTAGGATATGCAAATATGCCTCTTGCTGCAATGTGTTCTAGAATATGCACAGCACTTTTCAGTAGCTTTAGCTCCGGGAAATTTAGTTCCGGATTGCTCGAGGCCATAGGAAGTCCTTTATTAATGGACCCAAGTTTGTCCTTTCCAGATGTTTTTAGCCCTCATTAAATAAATTCCGGTTCCTGAAAATCCTCTCTCCAGATGGCTCTAAATATGTTCCAATATTTACTCTGTCAACTAGAAAGCTTCTAAGCTGAATTACATAAATAGGAAATACTGTCCATCCTTCCAATGTACTGATTTGAAAGAAAATTTAAAATAATTTAGAATTTATTTCTCAAACAATGTTTAAAATTGTAAAGTGGAATTACAGTAGTACACCTACATAGCAGCTTGGTTTCAAACAGCTAATTAGGTTTTGGAATCCTAAGGAGGAACTGTCCTTTAAACTGTCTTAAGGGTTCAAAAATTTTTTCAGAATAAATAGCCTGCAATACATTGCAACAGTGGAAACATTTTTTGGAATCAAGAAGTACTTGGAGCTTGTAGGACTTTGATATTTATGTCCTGGACAAGGTTAGAGATCCTCATTGCATCAGCCAATGTAATGAATTTTTTGTCTAGGGCACCTTGAGTGCAGAATACAAATACTGCACAGATACCTAGTGTAGGACAGTATCTTTCTCCCATTTTGTTTAACACTTTCTGTGTATCCGTGTATCCAGGAGAAGTGGGCCTAAACACTGACTGCCATCTCAGGTTGTGGAAAAAAAAACAAAAACAAAAAATGAAAAAAAATTCGAACTCCAAAATCTACATAAATATAAAAAAAAAAAAAAGCAAGGTGACCAAGATGCATTGTGTTTTGAAACTTTCTTGCAGCTGTGACTTGCAGAGGGTACAGCAAATGCAATTTCCTTTAAAACATCCATAACAGATAGAATTTTATGTAATAAAACTGTCTAATTTTTGACTTTTGTTTCTTAGCCAGATGATGAAGTAGGGAGGAAGTGGACAATGCAGCCCACTACAGCAGGTTGTTGCAGTGTTGCTGTTTGCAACTGAGGTGGTCACCATCAGCACAAGGTCACAAAAATGCAAAATCTTTCTTCAGTTGGTTTTTAGAGGATGCAAGTCCCAGAGAAATGTGTGGTGGTCAAACTGGAGCATGGAAAGTCATAGCAGAGTTTTTGCATACTGCCCCTTTGTCCCTTGAAGCCTCCCCTTAAGAAGAAATAGTAGTCCCCTCTTTATACCCTTTCCAGGTCCAATTTTGCTTTTATCAAAAATTAAATTGAAATTCAAAAACTTAGTTGAATTTTTGCCATTATCTTCAGTCAAAATAAGAAAAGGCTTAAGAAAGAGACCCTATTGTTAGGAGTTTCAGTCCTCATTATATTTTGCCTGTTGACATGTAACTGGACTAAGACCACATACCTCTGCAAGGAGGTTATCCAGCAGCTATTGAATTAGTGCTACTGTAGGTCATTGCCTCAGTATGATCCCTTTGAAAAGGCTGCCATAAGGAGAAGCTTTAGCTGAAAACTATTTCCAATTATTTTCACACGGTAAGGAATTATTCTTCATATATGATGTGATTTCCACGTGCACCTTCCTTCTGCTTTTAAGTTCCCAGGCTGGTTTCTCCCACAGAATCCAATAAAGAAAGTGTAATTTCTCCCTAGGGTCTTTTCTGGTCATGTTTGATATCACTTAACATAATGAGCTTTTTACTCTCACATCATAAAAGGTTTTGTTTGAAATGTCTTTTTTTTTCTTCCTTCAACAAAAAGTGTTGCTTACATCCCTTCTAAGGAATGCTCTGAGTTATGTGAAATGTGGACATGTTGTCTGGGCCAACCTCTTATCTGTGCCAGATTCAAAAAGTCTGGTTCAGTACAGTGGCTTAGACTGCATGTTTTTATTGTGTTTTGTTTCTTTTAAAAATATGTATGTATGTGTCCTGTTAAAAAACATTGCTGCCCCTGTCTAGGAACAATGCAACACTCACATCATTTCCTGAAAGAATAGAGTTGGAAGGCAATTA